ACGATACTTGTTTGTAATAAATAGATAGAAAAGCACATAATATAGAATCCGATACAACTAGTTTGATTTTAAATGAATAATACTGGGGGACGATTTCAGTCATTAATAAAGGACTGTTTGAGGAATAGTGTAAATTTTAACAGAAGGGCTCTCTTTACACAGTTCGTAATTGCAAACACTTTCAATGGAAAAGTAACAATGAAAAAAATTAGAATCCCTTTTATTTCGTTAAACAATACTAAAGATAAACAATTAGTCGAGGCAAAAGAGATCTCAACGAATTAGGAATAAATAAACAGCCGTAATGATGATCTAGCGAGGATCTGGTTGCTATGCAAGCCAAGTACCACAGAGCCGTTGTTATCGAAGATATACAGCTGCAGCATCATTATCTAGGTATCTAGGCTGAGAATGACAGCGCGTTTCTGAAACTGATCGAAGAAACTGAACAAAAGCTGGTTAAAGAGAGAAGGGCTTACGACATGGCAACGCTGTCAGGTATGTATACACGTCACTTTACTGATTCTGGAATGGAGAAAGCCGTGGGTGACACGTATAAAGTTCAAAACTTAAAGAGAAGATTCAACACTACGGCGCAAAGATACAATTCCATCAACAGTATGAGAGAAATAAATCTGAGCTCGTTTGCAGTTCTTCACAGAATCTTGCAGAAATCATTAACCTTGTTGCAGAGCTAACCGAAGCGACAAAAGATTCTCGAAATCTCCCAGCAGTGGCCGACACTTGTGCTCAGGTGCTGTATCACGCAGCCATTATCCTCCGAATTGAAATGAAGGGTGCTACTGAAATTGAAACACAGCCGCTGAACGTATCTGACATAAAGCAATTTCCTTGAAATTGTTCTACTATCAAACATTTTTTGAAACCTGGCATAATTACCATTCATGATATGAGCATTAAAAAATGCCATTAAAAAATAGGGTCACCGTACTTGTTTACGCGTCAGCAGGCTCCTAAAATAGGGTATTTTTACTGGTTGCGCGTTAAAAATTCGAAACACCTTCATACAGAATTAAGTCTTGGTTACTTGAAAGACACAAAATTTCATCTTGAAAGTAAAGCTTCTTTTATTCACATAAGTAGTATTGCTTCATTTACGCCGTTTTTGATTGCCTGGTTGTGGCAATATTGCACTTTTTCGGACAGTTCCGTGGTTAGCTTGAAGTCCTCGCCTTGACCAAAATACACCCAGTACGGAACTATTTTCCAAAAAAAATTCATGTTCTACTATCAAACTTTTTTTCTTCTTCAATTATGTTCTTTATTAGACTGTTCTTAGCAAATACCTGAAAAAAAAAGCGGCGTTTACCGAGCTAGTTTGAAAGAAAAGGAGCATTTATTTCGCTATCGAGCTTTGAGGGAAATCTCTTACGCTGTTAGCGCATGTGCTTATGTGCGCGCGCTAATGACGCGAAAATCGTGCGCAGTAGAGATGCGCAATGCAACACTAAGGAATTACTTTTAGTATACAGAAGGTTAGAGAAGTTGTACCTGCAAGACTGTAGCAATTTTTGAAATGGTTGTTGCAATCTCAGGGAGTCTTTGAAGGAGAGGGACTGCCTATCGACGACCACAAAGATTTAAATGAAAGTGTTCTAAAGGAGAACGAGACAAGGAATATTTTAGCTATCGGCCAAGACATTGTATCAGGGGGCAGGAAGAAAATGCCCAAACATGGGCTGACTATGAAAACCATGGTGCGGGGGAAGAAATTAACCACCATGTTAAACCACCATGGCCACTGTAGAAACTACTAGGAATGTGAACAGATCGACACAAAATGGGCAGAAATTAGTTTGAATCAAGTTCAAGAGGAAGATGGATATTATCAAGCAATTATTCCTTCGAACATTGTGGTGCTTTTGTGCAAACTGCTGCAGACAATGCAGACTACTTGCGGGATGCCGTTAAGGGAACGAAAGTGTACACGTGATGAGTATGGCTTTTTACCAAGGGGATTGGCACTAGATCCAAAGAACTAAGTACTCCCTGCGCAGAACATTAGCAAGGTCAGAAGACGAGCATTAAAATCTGCTGAGACAAAATTGTACGAGCTTGCGTTCACTAGTAAGACGCCAATGCCCGTCTTTGTCAAACACATCAAGGCAAACTTTCAACAGTGTGCATTGGAGAGAGAAGCTACAAGGATTGAATCAAGCGCTGGCCTGGGCGTTTACCAGAAACACCGTACCCCCAACAAAGCTGGTTACTGTTGAAGTAGGTCAAACACAAGCTAAGCAGAACATTCCTGGGTTGACTGGCTTTCATGCTATAGTCACTGTGAACAACTCTCGGCCAACCCGTATAGGTTTTCCTCCAATGATACCTGCACCTGTTAAAGATCCAAACACAGTATACACAAGCCTGAAAAGTCTGATCTGGGCAAGACTCCCCAAGAGCTTACGTCAGAAAAATGCAGTGGTAACCTTTGACGAAGGAATTTACTTTGAGGCCAAGCGCATTCAGCGGGCTATTACACCAGAACTGGACAGTGAAATTGTTCAACTGGGAGGATTTTATCGAGCTAAAAACTTCGAATTTCCTCGGTGTTATTGGCAAGCGCATGACAGAATCAGGTGTTGAGGATCTTTGGATCGAGAGTGACATATGTGGTAGCAATGTCGCAACGAAGATAATCAGCGGGACGCACTTTAATAGAGCAATAAGAGTTCAGAAACTAACTCTTGAAGCATTGGAGAGATTACAGTGGAGCACATTTATGGAATGATTGGAGAAAAATGGAAGAATGGATGAGAAAGAAATGAATTGCATCAAAGAGAAGAAACAGAAGTTGCTGACTCTTTTCCAACAAGGGCACAACTCTGTACTACGGCAACGAAGCGAAATCCGACAGAAGGCAATTGAGCTCGGTAACTTGCTGATCAAAGAACACGGTTGTAAAAGGTTGGAAATGGTGTCGCTGTTGTTGAATTTCATCCACGCTGACAGAGATGCTAATTAGCTTTGGCATCTTGAAACATTCAATGCAATGCTACCCTATGGCAGTCGCCCCAACAATACATCGAGAGTTCACTGAGAGTAGAGCCCACGCTGTTTCAACATCATCTTCCGAGTCATCGTTCAATTCTGTCTCACCAGACCTGACATTGGAGCAGACGGTGAACAGGGATTCCAAAACCAAAGGAAGAATTGTTAAAGTTACTGGCATGGAGGGAACACAAGGTAGGTGGGCACTCACAGCTCATATGATGGCAGCAGCAACAGCTTCTTTCAAAGTTATGACTGGCTCAAGCTTCCATAAAGACCTGGGGTCACAAAGAATTAAAATAATAGCATCCAGTGCATTGACACGAAATTGGTAAATCCATTAGATATCGGTCAGTACGAAGGAGAAAAGATGCCACGTACATAGTTGATCTTTTGGCTGTAATTCAGATGTTGTCAAAAGGAAAGATGAAAACATTCGGAGAGCTATCTGACACAATTGCGGGAACTATTATTGCTAAATTCCAGTTCGTCAGTCAAGTCCATCTTGTCCCAGACCGATATGACGTAGAAGACTCGATTAAGTCGAGAGAAAGATCCAGACGATCTCAGTGGACGGCCATAGAAATAAAGATTCAGAGCAGAGAAACGAAGTTACCTGCTAGTCTCAAGCCTTGTTTGTTCAGTGGATAAAAACAAATTTAATTTGTTGACGTTTCTACTTTTTGATTGGTGTGAGAACCTTCCCAGACAACTCAAGGATGGCCAAACACTCACGCTAGCATCATAAGATGGGTGAGCAGTGAAAATCACCAAGATGTTGAACAAAGAAGATATAATTCCTCTCTATTCCGACCACGAGGAAGCAGACAGTTGCATGTGTGTGCATTGTGAATATATTGCAAACCAGTCGTCAGACATGAACAATTCTTCCAAGAGGATCATCGTTTTTTCTCCAGACACAGATGTGGTAGTTTCATGTTGGTATCACTTCAGCCAAATGTCCATTCAAGAGCTTTGGTTCCACACAGGTACTGGAAGAAACAGAAGGTTCATTCCCGTGCACGAAGAGAGGATGCGATTCCACGAGTAACCTAAACGGCATAGGCAAAAAAGGAGGGTTCACTACACTGAAGAAACATAAAGATGTCCTTGTTGGACCGAAGAACCTGGATACAGACTGCACAGTCATAAGCGATGAAACTTTGACTGTTTGTTTCAAATTTATCAATCTTCTATATGGAGAAGCTACTTTAAATTTGAACCATCTCAGGTATAAACTTTTTACGAAGAAACAGCTGGAGAGCAGTAAACTTCCGCCCACTGCAGATAGTGCATTGTATCATCTCAAAAGAGCCAACTATCAATGCTTCATTTGGAAACATGCCTGAGACAGGGTAGGGTAGGAGTACAATGAGCGACCCATCACGTTCACGAACGAGAAATCACAGGTTAAATGATTGCTAAATGGGTGCAGTGACCATCTAGCAGAGAGCCCTTGTTAACAAAATGACAGCCGTTTCTTGGCGTTTTCGAAGTGTCTGTGAAGAGCATCTAAACTTCGTTTAAAAAGTAAAGTTTAAAACTGCTATTAGATTTATACTAAAACAATTAGATTATGCGCTCTCGATTTCTATGCGTGATAGCTGACTTGGGCTGCGCCCTCATCAACTAGTACACGATAGAAATCTCGAGCTCATAATATAATTGTTTATTAGTATAAATCTACTAGCGTTCTATCACGAATGCCGTTTTCTGATCGGCTACGCTACTCACTATCTATTCTGTGATGGATGGTGAGTAGCGTAGCAGTGTGCCCTTGTTAACAAAATGACGGCCACTTCTTGGCGTTTTCGAAGTGTCTGTGAATAGCATTTAAACTTCGTTTAAAAAGTAAAGTTTTAAACGAATATTAGATTTATACTAAAAAAAAAAAAAATAGATTATTCGTCCTCGATTTCTACTGATGCATGATTGTTGACTCAGGCTGTGCCCTCGTCAACTATCTCGCGCTAGAAATCTCAAGCTCACAATCTAATTGTTTAATATTTTTCTTAATAGTTTTTAATTGATAAGCGAAAGGAACGTTATACAAAAATAAGGACAAATGTAAAATGCCCTCTCCAAAAAGATGTTTAAGATTGCGTGTACAGATAAAATGTACTCGGCCATATTGACTTTCTCCGTTTTTGTCCATTTTATGACGTCATAATCTGATCACGCGACTTATTAATAAACATTATGTTATCCATGGCATGAACTCAGTCTTACGAAAATTTTGTATTATTTGTATTATTAGACAAAATCTGTTGATGGCTATAGGTCATTAACTATTTCCCCCCTCTTCCCAGATTGTTGTGAAAATGACTTTTAATCAGGAGGGGTGTACTTTGAAGTGCTGTAAATCACCATGGCCCACATGGCCAGCTCCACCGCCACCCCGTTATGATTCCCTAAGGTCTAAAGAACATTGCTGGGTGAGTCAAAGTCTGCCAGCTCGTCGAGTAAACGAAATCATTTTTTAGCCCCCTTTCCGAGCGTGGGCACCCGGACTATTTGCCTTTTTTGCAGTGATCTGTTACTAGGATGTTTTTGGTGACACACATACACACACAAAATGCTTGACCCATAAACCTTCACGTGCGTTAATGAACTGTAAGCCTCGTTTTCGCGTTCTGTGTTTTGATTGCGCGGGCCGTTCAAAGTTTCGTTGAATGGCGGAAAACGACATTGTTTGTAAAGCATGTGGTAAAATAGTTGTAAAAAGAAGTCGTTATCGACATGGAATCACGCTTTGAACTTAAGGATAACCAACTGTGGTTCCAGAGTTATCTTTGTGTGGTATTTTTACTGGATTCTTTGGAGACGTAGCGAGCGACGTCGCGATCGAAGATGAGTTCTCGTGTCATGGGTGACTCGATCAAGGTAAGATCAGCTTGGTGGTTTCATATTTCCTTCGAGTAGTATGGTTTCTTTGGACTGAGTTGTCATCATGGCATGAGAGAAAAGAACTAAACACTGTTCATCAGTAGCTGAATGAAGTCACGAACATGGATTTAAAAGCACCACGTTGGTCTTTGGGACACGGACGCTTTCAACTAATCCCTACCTCGTTCCACTGTACGTAGTGCTGTGTGGCGGTGTTAGTTTCTAATACGAATTTTCTGTGTTTATTTAGTAATGGCAGAAGAATCGCTTTATTGTTTTTCAAGTCCTGTTTCTGTTTTCTAAAGAAAGGATTAAAGATGTCAAGAATTCAGGATATCACTGTTTTGAAAACTTGTCTTACTTTAGTCGATTCGTTGCGAAGATTTCCGCTGTGTGATCTTAAGGAATGTAGGAACTTCATGGTTTGGATCTGTGACTCTACTTGAGCTTAAGCAGCTCTCTAATTTGCCTTGATATGTAGCCATATTTCGTTTGAATATTGCTCAGATAGTTGAGGAATGAGAATTCAAGGTTTGCAAAAATTACATTCTGCTCACGGACGGCCTAATCCAATTTGACAGGCCTTGGAAGATTTTTCATCCAGTTATTTCCAATGTGCACATGTAATTATATCGTGCCAGCAACTATCCAAAAATTAAGAATTAATTTGGGTTTTTATTTATTAACAGAAAATGTTCATGGCCAAATCACTTTTGGCTTATGAGTATATGTGCTAATTGGAATCCTGATTAATTAAGAGAACATTAACTCAACGTTTCTTGAATCTGAACTCAAGTTACTTAATAATGGTAATTAAACCCAGTGGAGTGCAATTTGGTCTGAAATCATACACGTTATTTATTAAATTGAACGAGCAGACCAAAATTTCATGACACAAAGCTTAATTGCTCCTTGACTACATCCATCTTCAAATTGTACAATTTAATCACCTAAATACAGGATGTTGTTTTATTCAAATATTTTTTGGCACTGGATTACCTGTAATTTGACTGGCTACCTTAAACAAGCCTTAAAATATGATTTGATGTTTTGTTTTAGTATTCCACTGTCATTTGCAGGCAAAAAGATGTAATTTAGAGCAAAAAAAAGAGTGATTCCAGAACAAATCGCACTACTGAAAGCCTATCAGATTGGATATAATAAAGGCATTAAGCTTTGTTCTGTAGCTTTTATGAGTAAAGCATGCATGTACAGTACTTATCAGTTACATTGATTATTTGGGGGTTCTATTACTTTCTCATTTATTTACATGTTGTTTTCCCTTAGGACTTTCAAGTTCTTGAGTTATTGGGCAAGGGAGGTTTTGCATGTGTGTACCGTGCCCGTTGTATAGCCACAGGACAGGAGTTTGCTATCAAGATGGTATGCATGCTAGTTTGTTTTTGATTCTCGTTCTATTTTTGTGAAATTTTGTCATTTTCTCGCAAACGAGTATGGTGACCTATCATTTTTTTCTGTTGTTTTGAATTGAGTAATAAATTTCTTTGTGTAAAATAAATATGGACCAATTCTCAGTGTAGAACAAAAAGCAATAGTCGGAAACGTGAGCAAGCAATCGTGACTACAATCATGGTGCTATTATAAGGATTTATATGGGTATAAACAAGGTGCTGTTGCTCCTAAACGAACATGGAAACCCCTCATTTTTATTTCAAAATTTAAGTTCCTGTAATATAAACAATCAGCAGGGAAAGTTTCACAAAAATCTCGGTGCAGATTCTATTTCAGTGGAATGACCTTAAATTTGTTAAGGAAACATAGCTCCCTGAATGGCACTGGCAAATTAAAAAAAAAATGTTTTTATAAATTAATTTTTTTGTGCAAGGTCTAGCCTAGTTGCATTTGGTAATTGTATTCTTCAATGTGTTACCAACATGTCTTTAAATCATTTTTTTTTCTATAAAAGATTGACAAGAAGGCCATGAAGACATCAGGAATGGTGGCAAGAGTCATAAATGAAGTGGAAATTCACTGTCAATTGAAACATCGTTCTGTACTTGAGGTACATGCACTGCACATCTCACGTTAAGACATGTTGACGTTCAATTTTTTAAAAAGCTCAGTCGGATGGTTAAGGCAAAGAAAAGGAGAGATGATCAGGAGTGAAAATATAATTTTGACAATGTATTGTATACTTGCCAATTTTTCCTTCTGAAAAAAGACTGAGACTTAATTGCCTTGGTCACTTAGAAAACAGAAACCAATGAGTTTATGACTAACTTTGCAATTTTACTAAGTTTCAAGTCACACTGCTTTGCAAAATGTTTTAAATTGTTTTTCATTGTTACGATTGTTCTGGTTATAGCAGTTGTACTGTAAAATTCTAGATCTTGGGAAGAGCATTTGATGTTGTACGTATCTCTGCTTAATATTATTTTGTGAATTTACATGCTTAGATTGTCGCTAATTTGTTATTTTTGTCAGCTCTATAACTATTTTGAAGATGCCAGTTATGTCTACCTTATCCTGGAAATGTGTCACAATAAAGAGATCAACCGCTACCTCAAGAAAACCGGACGGCCAGTGGGTGAAAATGAGGGTATGGTTCACTTAAGAAACTCACAAGATCTCACCAACTAAAAACTCCAATAATATTACCTGCCTGAGTTTCTGTATTAGACAGGATAACGTTTGTATGATGTTGTAACTATGGAAAGGGACGTCAGGCTGAGGAATAACTTGCATGGGATGTTAATGTTAAGTTGGTAGTTGTCTTTTTCGTTTTTTCTAAAGCTCGTCACATTATGACTCAAGTTGTCAAAGGAGTCTTGTATCTTCACTCACATGGCATCATTCACCGTGACCTGACCTTGGGAAACATTCTTTTGACCAGAGAAATGGATGCAGTAAGTCTTAATTGAGTGGAGTAATGGATATGACATACTTATTATGCTGTCCCCAATTGTTCAAAGTGTAGACAATGTTATCCAGTGGATAAATCCCTTGACAGACTATCCAGCTGATTGTAAGTGGTAAGAAGAACTCTACTGGACTGTGATTTGTCCAGAGGAAAGTTTTGTTTGGCTTTTTCTAAAGCAATTTTGTGTAAGGCAGTTTATTTGAGACTTACAATTGCAGTTTAAGATTTGCTGCAAGTTACATGTATATAGTTATGTATACATTGCATGACATCAGAAATTATACTAACATTAATTATGTGCTTTTCATTTTCTCTTAGAAAATTGGTGATTTTGGCCTTGCAGCAAGACTAACAATGCCTAATGAAAAACACTACACAATGTGTGGAACACCAAATTACATTTCTCCGTGAGTGTCAGTAATATCCCAGCGATTTTATTGTATGTTTGGGCAGGGGTTATTGTGTAAGAAATATGATCATCATTTAGTGTAAAACTATTGCTAAAGTATATGTAGACTTTGTCTTATTGCATTGTATGTCATCATTCTCACTAGCCCCCTTAAAGTTCGTCTCTTACAGTACCCCTGTATTTTGAATTTCTTCAAATATTTTCATTGGAAAGAAACTTCACTGGACAGAATCAACTTGCTGGACTGGAAAGTCTACTAGCTCTGGGCTATCAGACAGGACTTTTTTTGCACATTGTACTGAGAGCTGCGTCCATGTAATCACAGCATGAATTCTCCTTATAAAGGAAATGCCATTCTTATGTAGATAGGTTGGGAGATTATAAACAGCATCAATGGGAGAAATATGGTTGCCCAGGTGTAGTATTTATCAGATTCTCAATGAATGTAACAAAGTCAACAAGGAGAAATGTATTACATTGTGGTTGCCAATGGAAGAGTTGTAATGACCTCTGTGTTCTCTTGTAGTGAGATAGCGACCAGAGGTCCTCATGGTCTTGAGTCTGATGTCTGGTCCCTGGGGTGTATGCTTTATACTCTACTTGTGGGAAGTCCTCCATTTGATGTAAGTTGGTCGATATATTGTTTTTATATTCTGAAGCCCTGATTTAACAAGATGTGGAGAGTTGACAAGAGTTTGCTCTCATGCTCATTGGCCATGGGACTTTCAACAGTTCTGGCTGACTCTTGTACCCTCTCATTAGACGTAATTTACGTGAATGTTTCTCAAGACTTTTGAGATGTCAAGAGTTTCTTGTGAAAGTGTTACAGTTTGATTCCTGCTTGCTGAGAGTTGGAGAAATTATCTCTTGTGCAGCTCACATCCTTCAACACTTGCAATGTATGGTTCTTCTTTGGCCTTGGTTTCATACTCCACCTTTACCTTTTGATCTTTATTTTCAAGACTGAGGCCGTCAAGAGCACACTCAACAGAGTAGTACTAGCTGATTATGACTTGCCTTGGTGAGTATAAAAAACCTCTTTTAAGGGATACACACATGTATGCTAGGCTTAGTCAGTGCCTGTAGCCCATCTATTTTGCTCTAGTTACATGTAACTTACAAGTTTTTCAAGCTAATTAAAAAGCAGAATATTAACCACAGGGGATTTGGGTCAAACCATCTGATTAACACATTCATATTATATTGCCACACAAATACTAAATGTCTTCTTGTAAATTCAAAACAGTAAAAATTGAATGTAGCTTTTTCTGGTT